GGTGCAGTTTGGGAGTAGGCATTTCTTACCTTCCACTCTCCCTCCGGTTTTCCAGGGACAGACCTCCACCTTCCAGCAAGGAATGCACCTCAGAAGACAGACGAAGCAGGACTGACAGGAAGAGACGAGAACAAATGCAGAGACCAGCGGGTTGATGGAGGAGGGAGAGGAACCGACGAGGATGGAGAGGGAGGAGGGAGAGGAACCGACGAGGACGGAGAGGGAGGAGAGAGAGGGAGGAGCCGAAACAAGCAGCCTACCGGCACATGGATAGCACAGCCCTGGTGTTGGGTGGTCCGAAGATCAGATCCTTCAGCGCTGACGACCTCATGCCCGATACCTGCCCCAGCATCAGCCTAGCTCCCCAAGCAGCTCATCGCCTTGCCGGCGTATCATCCAGCTTCTGCAAGATGTCGCCGACAGCAATCTGTCCGTCCTCTGCTGCAGCTCCTCCCTCGTAGACCTACATCCTACACTCATGACAAGGAAAGCACAGGCGGCGGCGGCGCAAGTGGAGGCGAAGGAGGAGGGAGAAAAGGAAGAGGTGGGGGTTAGGAGAAGGAGGAGGAGGAGGAGGAGGAGGAAGGGGGGGGGAGGGAAGGAGGAGGAGGAAGAGGAGGAGGAGGAGGAGACCTCAGTGACCATAAAGTCTCCATGCTGATTCTTCTTAATTCCAATGCCTGCTCACACGCTCAGCCACTTGCCAGCTCTGCGGGTCTGCTTCCTCACCGACTCCGACACCTTCGCCCTTGTACGCCGCTGCGGCTGCTGCAGCTGGGGGGGATCGAGCAGCAGCAGCTTGTGCGGGTGTCGACTTGGTGAACGAGACGCTACGCGCTGGTCACGCTACACACTCGAACTGAGGAGAGGACAAACCTTCCCATCAGGTTGGTCAGGGAGGACAGCGACGAAGAGAGCTTTGCTGACGCATCTCCTGCCGTAGCGCTGAACGAATGTCTCGTCAGGTGGAGACGGGATGGCGCGAAAGAAGCTGAGACCTGAGGGAAGAGATGGAGGAGGACGCCAGCCCTCCGATGTCACCGAGCGCGCTGAAGAGGGAGGAAGACTTCTTCTGCTCTGGTTCCGTGTGAACGCCCTTGAGGGGTCGACGAGTGATGACTGCGGTCTTCAGCTCTCCTTCCTCCGTTTGCAACTGCATCATCCCCTGTCAGTGCCTCCTCCTCCCCCTCCTGATCACAGCTCCCCATCATCCTCCCCCCACTCCTCCATCTCCTCAAGGCCTCCTCCTCCTCCCTTTCCCCTGGCCCTTGCTCTCCCCAATCCCTCCCCTCCCTCCTGCTCCTCCTCCGAGTCCGCAAGGTCACCTCGAGCGTGACCGTCGTCCCCTCCCTTCCTTTGATGTGAGACACGAGGTCTTTCATGCTCATGTCGATCAGCGACAGGCCGTTGCAAGACAGCAGTATGTCTCCTACTTGCAGCTGGCCTGACTCTGCTGCTGGCCCTCCCGGCACCAGCTTCGTCACCACGAAGTTTGCACTCTCATCGAGGGTGAAGCCCACACCGATCCCCACGTCCGAGGCTGCGCTGCTCTTGCTCTGTCCGCTCTTGAGGCTTATGGCTCCCAACAGGCTCGACGAGGCCGCGTTCAGGATAGAGGATGAGGCAGCGATTGTGCTCGAGAGGAGGCTTGCTTCGCTCTCCTTCGCCACGGGCTCTCCTTGCGCCACACGCACGAGGGAGACATCATGGAGGCTACCTTCAGGTCCTCGCTGCAGGAGGAGCTTCACCTCGCTTCCGTCAGGCCCTCTCAGCTCCTGCGTCAGAGCTGTTGTACTCAGAGGTCCTACTGGCCGCTCGTCGACCTCTAGGATGATGTCGTTCTCGAAGACCAGCCCGCTAAGACGCGCAGGCCAGCCATCCTTGAGCTTCTTCACCATGTGGTTACCTAGCTTATCTCGACCCAGCCCGATTCCGATCCCAGCATTCTTAGTCACATCTACCACACAGCTTCCGTCGATGCTCGCACCTCCTCGGAGACGAATGTTGCCATGATGCGCTTGCATCGCACAACCAAGCGAGCAAGTATGGGGTACATTACAACCGTTCGAGCCTCCGACCCAGTAGATCGCCAGCAGCACGCACAAGATCGTCTTCCGGACGTAGAGAGCGGGAAGCATCTCCGAGGATACTCCAGCCTCAGTCCGTCTGCAGCGCTTGACCTCGGCCTTGCGGTCTCTGAGCGACGTCTCCTGACTTGGGACTGCTGCTCGGGGTAGAGCAACCAGCTATCCGCTCCTCGTCCTCTGTCTCGTCTCACCGCCTCCTCCCCTGCTCTGATTGCTGTCTTCCTCTCCTGCGGCCGCCCCTCCCGCACGAGAAATGCAAATCAATAAAAAATATAGATCGTTTGTGCTCGAACCCATGTTGTCCCACCCTTGGCGCGATTATTTAATATCTGATATATGAAATATCACATGACTGAACCACATGTTCTCAGGCTTTCCCTCGATCTATAAATTTTATTGAGTTTTATTGCATTGGATTTCGCCTTTCCAATGGAGGGGTAGTGCAATTGGGAAATAGGGGGTAGAGGCTGACCCCGTGATTTCAGGACCCCTCATTTTACCATTATAAGTACCCCCGTGGGATATTCCACCCCCTACCCCACATTTTGACTCAACCAACGTCGATCAACACTAACCCTACCCCTCATATTCCGCTGCTCGTACCCCACCTTTATAAGGCCCCGGTTCCAGTACCTCAACAACCCCTACCCCCATCCTCGAGTCAACAAACTTGCGATGGTCATTCCGGACGAGTTGCGCCTGAGGAGCGGCTATGAGCAGCAAGTGGAAGAAACATGCAAGGGGACAGGCAGAGGTCTCTTAGGTCTGAGGAGCAGGGAAGGAAGAGCAAGCCTGGCAAGGGAGCTCGTCCAAGTGGTCTTTAGTAACTTCGGGCCGCCTGTCAGACTGAGACCGGGGGCAGTGCCGCTGCCGCACAGGCTCAGACTGATTGGACCCGGCAGCACCGGAATGGCAACGCAGAAGCGTGAAACTCCTGGCCCAGTGGCCTGCATAGTGGAAGCAGCCTAGACAGGAGAGAAGAAGGCATATCCGATAGGGGAGGGAGGGGCTAGGTGAGGCTTTCAGTCACGGGCTGTGAGTTGGGGAGGGGGAGGAAGCAACTTGTAGGGACTGAGTGAAAGTGAAGAGCTAAGAGTTCCGCTGGCTTCTAGAGCCTCGGCTAGGACGTGCGTGAAGTTTCGGAGAGGTGTATAGGGTTGAGATATAAGTGTCATAGAGCAAACTTGAAAGTCATGACCAGTCTCACATAAAGTCGAGATGTGCTGATTGATGATGGTCCAGAGGAGATGGCAAGATCAGGCGGCTCGCTATCTGGGTTGTGCTACAGCGAAAACTTTCCACTTGATGAAAACTTGTTTCAACCTTGCTTCTGCTTCGATGACAGGACGTTGTTTCGAGACCTCAAGTCGTCATGTTGCGATGACGTTATGATCTATGGAAGTACACGGGGTTCCTCAAAAGAGTTCGTCTGTTTCGACGTGATACAGCAGCCCTCGCACACAAGGGATGTGGTGTCAGAATTTTCAGCTCATGATGCTGTGGACGGCGATAAAAGTCTGGTCACGGGTGGGCTGATGTATTCTTCCCTTTACAGCCATCACAGCTCTCCCCAGTACTTCACAAAGTTCGCCAACCTGTCGGAATCCCTGGACCTCCTACAGAAGCTGCAGTTTCCCTCCCACCTCCCCGACCGACGCCTTCCGCAAGCCATCCACCATCATCCCCGCGCTGAATTCCCTCCGAAAGACTCTCACACCCACCCGAGGAAAGAGCACAAGAAGCCCCCCTCGCCGGATCGCTTCGCGTCGCACAAGGAGGTCAAGCTAGTCGCCCCGAGGTCGTTGATATCCGACGATCGGCTCCTGCTCGAGGTGAGAGTTTGAAGCATGTCGAACTGTCGATGAAGCACGGTGAATGCTCCAGGAGTACAAGGTCAGGAGAGAGAAAGAGAGGATGAAGCGGTGGAGGGAGAAAACGCAGGACGAGCATTGTCTCCGAGAAGGGGTGACTGCTGCTGTGAGGTCCCCTGACTCCTCTTCCTCTCGGGAGCGTTGACTCACATGCTGCGCAGGTCTCGCTTCGCAGAGCAAGCTTGTCTCCGTCCCATGAATGTACGGCACTCCTGATGCATGACGATCGTTTCCTCTCACCCTGGTGACGTTCAGGGGCGCGTCAGGTCGGCAGGGGTACCGGATGACGTCTGTCCTCCAAACTGCACCTGTGATATCTGCGAGAGGAAGGTGAAGAATTGCCTCGACGTATGCAGCTGCCACCTCCCTCGCCTCCTCTGACGTGCCAGCAGGACGCGGTCTGCAGGTATGAGATGGATCACATGCTGGACTCATAACGTCACGGGATCCATCATTCGTTGCTAGCTGACCAGTCAAGAAAGACGCGCTCCTGTCCTCCCTACTTGCTCTCAGTCTTGTTCTTCCATCAACACCTGCCGCTGCTTCACCCCTCTTGTCAGAGATCCAGCAAGACGAAACGTCACGAACTGTTGTCGCAGAAACGATCCTTTATCCTGCTCACCTCTCTCTCCCCTTAGCCGTCTATAGCGTCTCCTACTTCTCCTCCTCCTCCTCCTCCCTGAACTAGATCCCTCCTTCCCACTCGTTACTATCCTCCTACATTTCCCCTGTAGCTTTCATCGGGCGGATTTCAAGGCCGAGAACGAAACCGGTGGGGTACATCAAGTACCGGTCCTAAAGCGTTATGTTCATAGTGATTGTTTAGGGTCTAGGCAAAGGGGGTAGGGGTGGAGGGGTAGGAAACGAAAATGAGGATCTTGGCAGTCCTCATGGCGATGGTGGCGAAGGAGGAAGGTGAGAGGGAGGGAGAAACAGGGAGAGGAAGTGAAGAGGAAGATGAGAGGGAGGAGGGAGGGATGGGGAGACAGATGCGGTGAAGGGGGGGAGAAGGAAGGAGAGCAAGAGGGGCCAGACGGCGAGGGGGGGGAAGGGAAGGAGGGAAGGTTAGGAGAGGGAGGGAGAGGATACCGAGTCGCACGATACAGAGAGGGATGAAGAACATCAAGCAGACAGCGAGCGGTAGGAGGGGGCAGGGAAGGTTGGGAGTGGAGGAGATGAAACAGAATACCATATGATTAAGACGGGCAGATCTTGTGGCCTTGAGCTCACCTTGAACTCTGATCAATCAGATTTTTCGTCTGGCCATCTGTTTTTGCGCGGAGGAGAACGAGGAGGACGGGGTGCGGGAGGAAGAGCAGGCGGGTTTTCCTTGTTTCCTCGGTACAGTAACATGCTTACTGAGCAAGTTGATGGTAAGCACGAGATTATCGCACCTCATTCTTCCCATTCCTCCTCGCTCCTCTCCGACATCTCTCAGCCTGCTCTCCTTGTTGTGCCGTCTACCTACTTTCTCCCTTCTTCTTACATCCTACCTGCCTAGAAAACAGCATCTACACCGGAGGCCTCAGCAGCGTGTCGATGGCCAACTTCAAGATCGACGGGAAACCAGTGTCCATGGTGTTCGAGACTCAAAACATCTCCCATGGCGAGACGGCCCTTGTGGTAGGAGGAGCTAGCCCCTTCCCTCTCATCAAGGGAGTAGACAAGTCGTCCAACGCAATCGTGAGCAGAAAGAAAGCCGTCTACTTCGAGCAGAACAGAAAGGGAAAGTGGATCACCGTTGCCGTCCCTGTGGGTATGACGAAGCAACAGCTGATGAAGTTGGAGGAATTCTTGTCTTGATCTTGATGACACCATGGCACCGCAGGAAGATCGAGAAGGAGAAGCAGTTCCTTCAGGGTCTGCCGGACGATCAGGTGCGAACCTCGGCGTGCTGGAGGGACGTTGTTGAGAGGGCCCGCAGCGAAAGCAAATGGAGGAGGAGCGGAATACTGCGATGATGGATGCTCGATCACAAGGATATCAGGTGAGCACGAGGCATCTCAGGGGACGGGGTGTGAGGGAGGGGCATTGTATCAGGTGTTCTGTGCGGAGAACAACGTCATCGAGAAGAAGATTAAGAAGCAGAAGAAAGAGTCTGAGAGGAAGAAGAGGAGATACCATGAGAAGATTTACAAGCAGCTGTAAGACCTTCTGTTCGACCTGTCCCGACGATCGACCTCCCTTGTTATCCACTGCTTCCTCACTCCTCCAGCTGACAGACCTGCTGCCTCGTTACTCCGCCTCAAGTAACTTTCCGACACTGCCAGGCTCGACAAGGAAACGAGGAAGCTGGAGGCTCGCCAGAGGCTGAAGGAGCGGCGAGCCAACAAGGGGAAGAAAAAGTCGAAAACGTTGAGCAAGATTCGCAAGACGTCATCCGGGGGAACACGACGAGCAAGGAGGACAGGTGGGTAGTGTAGGTAGCAGAGGAGGGGAGGGAAGAGAGGGAAAGATCCTGGAGCAGGAAGAGATAGAGGGAACGAGGGAAGTAAAAAAGCTGGAGGGGTGGGGGTGGTGGTGGTGAAGGAGGAGGAGGGAGGAGGTGAAGGAGGAGGAGGAGGTGGTGGTGGAGGGCCCAATGAAATGCTTTGCGCTCATGGTTCTTTCTAGGTCGACATCGAAGGAGATAACGATTTCCGAACGTGGGGGAATATCAGGGGAATATCAGCAGGGAATATCAGCAGGGAATATCAGCAGAAGAGGCAAGAAGGGGGGTGGAGGGAGGGAGGGAGGGAGGGAGGAAGAGTGCGGTTTCAGAACGCCCTGTAAATATGAATGCAATTCTAACGAGAAGGTTGAAAGATTTGATGCTCCTCCCCCCGAGAAGACAACCACCATCGCTCCTTCCTCTTCTCCTCCTCCATCGCCTCCTGCGTCAGAATGCGCTCCTCACCATCCCTGATCTTGAGCACCCGCCTCACTGTCAGTGAGATCCTCCTCCCTCTCTCTACAGCCGTTCCCACACAGTAATCGTCACCGAGCACATGCAAGTTACATGTGTGGTGCTCGATGTTGTCTGCTCCTCTCTCGACTATCCCGTGCCAGTGGCTCTCGTATGCCTCCTCATTGAACACCAGCAGGCTGTTGGACAAGCACAGGACTGACGCGACTGCCTCCCCGCACTTGGTCGCATGCAGGCTCGGCCAAAACTGAAGGAGCGCGGGGCCATCGAGGGAGAGGATGGCGACTAGGGGCATGTAGAGGGGACCGTCCTGGTGAGGAGCAATGCCCTGACCCCTCGCGTACTCGTTGAGCAGGACATGATTCGGTCGTTCTTCCTCCTTGAACACACCCGCCTGCACCAGCGCGTCCATCACCGCATGTATGAACTGCGGGACCTCCGACGGGATCATGCCATCCGGGTGCGGAGTTCCGCCATGGTTCTGCAGTCGCCTGCGCTTGAGGTTCGCCCATGAGCTCTCAGGCATCATGCTCACCCTCCTCAAGATCGCCGCCCCCTCCTCCTCCGTGAGGAAGTTCGGGATGTAGAACAAGCTGGCAAGCCCTCCGACTCTGAACTTGTCCAGCTCCATCGGCTCTCGTCGTGCAAGGCTCACAGGCAGGTCCTCCAGCTCCTGCCATGTCGGCGATGGCGTTGGGATCCCTGGAGTACACTTCCTGCTGCCGTCAGCCTCGCCTTCCACTCCATTCTCCTCGCCTTTCCTCAGCTGCTGGAGGGCCTTCTTCTTTTCTGCCTCAAGCAGAGCCTTGAAGTCAATTGCGGTCGCCATGTCTCTAACAGTCCAGCATGCAAAGAGCTACTGCTAGCCCCTGTTCCAAACCCTGGTCAGATCCACATACGTTCCCCTCTCACAATGTGCGATACTTTAGAAGACCAACGTCCTAGATCGATCATGTCATGAAGATCTCCCCCCCCCCACCCTCCAAGTATCGCACATTGTGCGAGGGGAACGTCTGTGGATCTGACCAGCGTTTGGAACAGGGGCTAGCAGTAGCTCCTTGCATGTCGGACTGTCTACAGACATGGCGACCGCACTTGACATCCCGGGTCAGCCCGAGGCAAAAAAGACGCCGGTACTACCGTGCTGATGCCCATCTCGGATAACGGTGTTTTGGTTGAGACTTGTGGCTGGAA